TGAGAGGAGGGGAGGTAGGGAGTATAGTGAGAGGAGGGGAGGTAAGGGAGTAGTGAGAGGAGGGGAGGTAAGGGAAAAGCGAGAGGAGGGGAGGAGAGGGAGTAGAGAGAGGAGGGGAGGTAAGGGAGTAGTGAGAGGAGGGGAGGTAAGGGAAAAGCGAGAGGAGGGGAGGAGAGGGAGTAGAGAGAGGAGGGGAGGTAAGGGAGTAGTGAGAGGAGGGGAGGTAAGGGAAAAGTGAGAGGAGGGGAGGTAAGGGAGGAGAGAGAGGAGGGGAGGTAAGGGAGTAGTGAGAGGAGGGGAGGGAAGGTAGTAGAGAGGAGGGGAGGTAAGGGAGTAGAGAGAGGAGGGAAGGTAAGGGAGTAGAGAGAGGAGGGGAGGTAAGGGAGTAGTGAGAGGAGGGGAGGTAAGGTAGTAGAGAGGAGGGGAGGTAAGGGAGTAGAGAGAGGAGGGAAGGTAAGGGAGTAGAGAGAGGAGGGGAGGTAAGGGAGTATAGAGAGAGGAGGGGAGGTAAGGGAGTATAGAGAGAAGAGGGGGATCAGACAAAACGAAGCTTAATTATTCACTCCTGATCACACGGTAGCTAGCATATACGCATAAGAGTATTATGGCAACTTAGTACAAACCTCCGCTACTCCACTCTATATACAATCCGAACTCGATATGGATACGGAAGGTTTACTTCACTCGCTCGCTATACGCACGACCGCCACGACTGAAAGTTCAATGCCTTGTAGATTGAAATTGGGCCGCAAGGTGTACCTGATACCGAATGAGGTCCTTATAGGCATTAGCTCTTGTTAGTAGCTACTGATGTCACCCACTGATACAGATGCGCGCGAATGGATTCAATGACGTGACCCTGACAGCGTCATATTTGAATATGTACGTGTGCGTGCGCGGGCATGTGTGCGTGCCTGCTTGTATTGTATACCGCAATGGGAGCTTCTTCAACTTCCAAAACTCGCTATTGCGCGAAATAAATAAAAGCTATATATATATACAGGCCTGTAGCCAGGAGGTGTTCGGGAGTTCGCACGAGCAAAAAAAGGGGGTGTCCTCCCCCCCCAGCAAAAAAAAAATAATTTGCAAGAATTTCATCTCGGTTATGCACCAGATCGCTCTATTTTAGTGTAATAAATGCAAAATCTCTATCGTGTGGGAGGGAGGACACCTCCATCCAACACCCTCTCCCTACCCGGTCGCTATGCTCCCTCGCTCGGTCGCTTCCCGCCCGACCAAATGGCCAACATTTAAAAACGAACCCCCCCAATATAAATTAGCTGGCTACGGGCCTGTATATATACATATAAATACAATATATGTATGTATATCATATATTACGCGCACGCACGGTACACCTCACTGGCGTAATAGTTTGACACATAATTGTACGATTAGTACTTATCGCTCCTGATAGATGGCGCAAGGATACACCACAAACACACACACAATAATCATGGCTGTTGAAGTGTTGTTGTCTTTCTTTGCCGATGCGTTTCGGCCACTATATTTAGTATTTATAGTGCCAACAGTTGTCACGTTGGCTGTGGCTTTTTGGATTTATTACAGAGCGACCCATGGAGCGTTTCATTCCAAGTACAGGCTGGAACCGCGGCCGCTAGTAAAAGACCAGCGAGAGAGAGACAAAGTTCTCAAGCAAGGTGGGCGTTCAACAACATCTGATACTGTACTGTAGCTGTATAATATGTTGTTGTTGTTGTTGTTGTTGTTGTTATCGTCGTCGTCGTCGTCGTCGTTGTTGTTGTTGTTACCGATTGACGTTACCATTTACTTAAATTAAGGCGTCAGTCAGTAAGTATTTTCCCCCATGTCAATGACAATGTCAATGTGTCTCGTTGTTATTATTTAGGCAGTGTCTAAACGACCGGACCCGGTTTGTGAATCACTTTCCCCTGGGCGTAGATTGAGGATGCCGCTACGTGGCAGCACTAGTGTTAAGATTAGGGTTAGGGTTAGGGTTAGGGAAATAAGGGTATAATAATATAACAGGGCTGCCAACATTGGGTGATAGGTGAGAGTGAGATGCGAGGGAGCGAAGCGACCGAGAGAGGGGGGGGGAAGGGGTTTTTCTACCTCCCACGGTAGGGAGCTTTTGCATTTTATAACTTCACAATTTGGTGCATACTAAAGTGACTGTTTTCAGATATTGTAAGATTTTTTTTGCTGTGCGTGAGATATTTCAGCGTTTTATTCGTGAAGAGATATTCATGCGTGAGATATCTCAGCATTTTTTGGCTGTGCGTGAGATATTGTAAGATCAGCGTGAGAGCTTGAGATTTGGTCAAAATGCGTGAGTGTCACGCCCTGATATAATAATATAGGGAAATAAGTAAAATAGGGACTAGTGCTGCCACGTAGCGGCACCCTCCATCTACGCCCGGGGGAAAGTGATACCCACCCGGTTTCGGAGTCCTGAAAACTAAACAACCGGCTCTTATTGGTCAGTTTCTGAACATAACGATAATTTTTAATGCAAAACATAAAGAAATATATTTAATTCCGAACATAAACAAAAGTTACAGAACATATAAATGAATACAGAACAAATAAATGCAGAAACAAATTAAAATACAAAGAAATACAGATCCATCTTATGGGGTTCGAACACATGCAGTCCCTTACTATCACGAAACGAAAGATCTACCGTTGAGCCACTGAGACAAATTTAAAAGTATGGATATAGACCCTAACCAGGGCTCAATTTTAACAGTCGTCCGGTCGTCCGTGACGACTGGATTTTCTCTCGGGCAACTACAAATTGCTTCCGTGGTTGTCCGGTGTCCAACCTCTATAAAATCAATAACCTGAGCTCTCTATGTACCAGTGTTTGCGGTACACGTACAGTAGCGCTTCAGGTATTTGAAATCTGGTATCCTTTTTCAGATAGTAATTTAAACAATGTTGGTATCCAAAACTTTGAAATAAGCAATAATGACGGTGCGCGCTTCTTCTCGTTCATTGCTCCTGGGCGATCGATCGCTCGCGGCCCACCAGGGAGCGCGCGTTTATTTTACATACGGCCAGGGTTGCACAATACGCTGCAAACGTACATGTCTAGGCCCATTGTCTGGCTTGCTTGATACAATGTATAACATCACGTGTATGTACATGTATTGCGCGCACTCGCTCTACGCCCACTCGCTCATTTGTCATTTGTAATTCGCCAGCCAGTTACTATAGTATAGAGATCAGTGGCCTCGATAAACAAACTGTCATGGAGGACATCATTTGCCGACTGCACTGAATTGGAATAGAATTTTATAGTTTTATAACCACACGCAACATAATTATGTGGCGTTATCTCGAAAAACATCGTACAAAATGTACATGATTAGCCTGCCTTTTGCTTTACAGCACTGATCATCACGTGAGCAGAGCGCATGCAGCACATGTTTAAATAATATCCGGACAACCAAAACTCTTGAGGGACAACCATATGCTACTCTCTTGGTTGTCCTCCGGACAACCCAAAAAAAAACCTTAAAATTGAGCACTGCTAACCAGGCTTTCATTTTTAAGGGGCGCGATCGCGCTCGCGCTCCACCGCGCACCCAAAATTGTGCCATGGTGCGCGCATCATCGCGCCTCATAAAAGTGGTTGAAATCGCGCACCAAAAGTATGTTTATTATGTTGAAATAGCGCTCCATAGAGTTCTCAATGTAGGAGGGTACAAAAAGGTTAGCAACACACAACAATTTGTGGTGTGTAAGTGACTGAACGTATGGCAGAGGTACAGGTCTGGTTACTACCCTCTGGTTTATATATATATATAAA